GTGTGTATCCACATGCCAAGTCAAAGTCGAGCGTGGTAGTGTAGTGTAGAGTAGTAAAGTCGAAGTCGAGTGTAGTAGCATAGGATAGGAAAGTACAGCGTAGAGTAGCATAGGGGTGGGTCTTTCCCGCGCCGTAGAATTTGCCCATGCCGCCACCAAAAAGGCACGCCCCCATCCAAAAACAGTGCACGCCGCCACGAAACCATCACGGACAGCCTATGGGAACCCGTTTGCCCGAACACAAAACCCCACCGGTAGGTACCGCGCCAAGAAACCACTGGTAGGTACCGCGGCCCTCTCCAACACGCAAATAATCCCGGCCGTCGCGCCCAAGGTACCGGGCCAACGGCCTGGATTGATGCGCGCTCTTAGATCTTAAGATCGCGCTGATACGGCGCGTCGATCCGGTAGGACCCGACCGCCGGGATTTCAGATTTGTTACATGGTTCGGTTGATCTGGGCCGTGGGCCGGTAGGACCAACAACGGCCCGGATTTCAGATTTGTCACGTTAGCGATTTTAATAGTGTAGGGACGTGATACGACAAAAAATGAATCACCTGCCAACATTCACGTTCCTTGAAGAGTGTGTTGATGCCACTGCCTGGCGTGAGATGCTCCGGAGGACAAGGTGGAAAGTAGGGGTCAACAGCTTTCTTAAATCCATCCCTTCTTTATGGTGCACATGGAATTCATGGCTGCAGGTGCTTCTGTAGAATCTGTGCAAAATGCGCAGGTGCCAGACAACTGGGTATGGCTGTGGCAATTTGCAGATAAAATCAGGAGAGTGAATGCATGCATTTGGGAGAACCCACACACACACACGAATTAGCCTGCCATTGTAATGAGAAAACAAGCACGCTAGATTACCAGCGTAACGAGAAAAAGTGATCAGGAGTGGGACAGGAACCTGTTTCACTCCCCCCCCCCCCCTCACACTGACACACACACTGTAGACACAGACACACACACCATCTAGCTTTTGGGCCTTCTGGCTATAAAGAGCAAAACCAAAGGGAGGAGGGTGTACAGGGAAAGAAGAGTCACCGACAGGGGAGAAATAACCTACCGTGTTGATCTTTTGGGATAGAATCTCCCACCACTTCGGCAAGAAACACCCACATCTCGCAGATTGAGTCCTCTTCCATACAGTTCGAAGAAATCAAGCTGCATCAACCACGAAACGCCTCCTTCAGAGAGAAATACACTGAATATGATCTCAATTCGAGCTGTGTTTCCGGGATTTCCTTCTCTGGCTAAGCCCGCAAAACTGAGCCAGGACTCAGGAATCATTTGCATTCCTTTCGTTTTTTTTTTTGTGTGTTTTTCCCCGCACGAGACCCCACCCACCCTACTTTCGCCAATTCTCCCTGGCGCAACCCCACTCCCTCAGTCCTACAGCAGTGTTTTCCAACCATCAAGGCAAATCTGGCTATATGCTGAAACCTCCGTGTAGCGGACCAACATAATGATTGCGAGCGTGTGGACCATCGGCAGGGAAGCAAGACCAAGCACGACAATAAAGCCTCTATGACTGCAGACCAGTCATCCCAAGCATATAAGATGGGATGATGATGGTCTGACTGGGAGCTCAAGCGTCTCACTTGGGATATAATGAACACTTCATGCTTACAGGCTGAGCTGTGCTTTATTAAAGTGTATGCACTTGACCTCTCAATATTCATTTCAAAGTGGGATTAGATTGACACAGTTGCCTGAAAAGTAGCGGAGGGGTGCGAAGGTAGGCTCAAGCTAGCGCAAAGCGCGTAATGGTCAAAGCCGGCCTGACCGTGAGGCCTGTAATTTCTTATATTGATATAGTACTAGTAATACTAGTATTCTTATATTTTTCGTATTTTTGTTATCTTTTTAGTTTTAGCCTTTAAGAATATATTATCATATTCATAATTACAATATTATATAATGCACAATACACAATATGCAAGGAACCAATTGCAAAGATTCTGCTCAAAGTCAACTCAGGTGGCAACCATGCATCAAACCGAATTCCAAACAAAGCACACACTCGAGGCCACGAGATGGGAGTTAGCCTAAAACCGAAATGATTATCCCCAAACATGACAAAACTATCCAAGTTCATAATAAATGCGGATTTGGCTGATAGCTCATCAACCTTGCACAGGTAAGTACACACTCCCTCTCTCTCTCTCTCACTCGCCATCTCTCCTTTCTTGTCTCTCTGCAATGACTTGCTGATTCTGACTGCCGAGACTGACTGTGAGGCTGTATACTAACCGGTAGGGTTAGATTCGTAATTCAGTTTGGCTGAGGGCTAACTGAGAGACCTACCTGTAAGGAAAATTCGTGAGGGACATATCTGCAAATGTGGGGAAATTAGACCCAGCAGTACTTCGATTTTCCTACAGTCATCTTCACTGCGTTTAGCAGGCCCGGGCTACCCCTAGGACAGACAGGCCTTAAGGGCCTAAGCTGATAGACGGTCCTATAGCCTATAGCCGGGTCCGGTAGAGGCCGAGAGGCCGAAACCAAAAAGGTACCGGTCGGTCAATCAGTCCGGTCTAGGTCTAGGCTAGAGTAGTAGAGTCTATTAATAGTTTTGAGGGAATCGGGTTGGGACTTTTTGGCAGTTCATTTTCGCGAGACAACGTTTGGAGCCAAGGAGGTTTGCAACAGCGATTGTCTGCAGGTGGTACCCTGAGACCCTCACAGTGAACAGCAGCCATAGCCAGCCTGTTGAGGGCTTGCCATAGCTGGGGCATCCCCTGCGCATCAACCCCTGTGAGTTCCTGCGATTGGCTGGGCTGTGTGGAGACTCTTCACTGAGTCCTTGTGGGTGGCGGCAGCCATAGCTGCCAGTTCTTCGTCAGAGTTGTTCAGCGGCACTGAAGACTTCATCGCAGGATCTGTTCTTCATCTGGTTGGTTGGCGCTGGCCTCTGGGAGGTCATTCTGATGTGGCGCTACACACTGGGTGTAGGATAGAGAGTGGAGTGTGGGGTTCTGAGAGTGGCGAGACACTGGAACAAACTCTAACGATTTCTGGTTAATTGGCTCATCATCAGTGTGTATTCCGATTGTTATCCTCGCCGGTTCTTTCTTGTGATTGGTTGTTGGGAGTTTCGTCAGAGAGTGAGAAACACCGAGTGTCCTCTCCCCATCTGTGCATGGCCGTGCTTCCGCTATCTACTCTGATCTGTGTGCAGTTGGACTCTGTCTCCTCTCCCCCTTCCCTTATATGCATGTATGGGCGTGTATGAGACTGTCTGTGTGTGAGTGGCGGTAAAAATCGTCAGACAACCAAGTTCATAACATCTCTCTC